AAAAAAAAAAAAAAAACTAAAAAATTGTACAGAGACATATTAGTAGAAGATCACTGCTTCGTTTATAGAAATGAAGAGTATAAAGCAGAGAAGTGCTCCTTGGGGCAAAAGGCAATTGGCAAAGGCTCAGGAACATTTTTATAATGACTTTGTCAGAAATAAAGATCATCAGGCATATCCAGGAAGTGGTAGTGAATGCCAGGCAGGCTTAGAAGACAGGAAACATTTAGCATGTTGGTAAACCACTTTAGCACGTCAGCAAAGGCATATGAGCAGCATTAGGATTGGAGATTATTACCATGGGGAAAGGCAATAATTAGAGGAGCAATTTCAATTAAAAATATAAAGATTGTTACTTTAAATTAATTCTTGAGTTGCTCCTCTGTGCCTTTGTAGCAGAATCTATAAATCACATAAAGGGAAGATTATATTTTAAAAATAAACTCTGGAATTCTTAAAAAAATAGACATTAAAAATGTAAAATTATACTAGTAGGAATTTTTAAAACTAGAAAAAAAGAATCCACTCATCATGATACACAAATTAAAGAAAATACTGGTAATGTGCATGGTATAGGCTAGTAGTTAAGAACCCAAATGCTACACTGGACTGCTTCTTCAAATCCTGGCTCTGCCATTTTCTCGCTATGTGAATGTGAGCATAGATTACTTAGCCTTTGCTTCAGTTTTCTCATCTGGAAAATAAGTTTTTATAGGATTCTTGTGTGGATTCGGTTAATAAGTAAATAGAACAGACCTCCAAAATCTTAAGTGTTGTATGTGATAGCTATTATTAATATATTTCAAATTCTCCTGAAGAAAATCTTCCCTAATTTGTGTTTGTGACTATCAAAAACCAAACAGAAAAAATCGCATAAACAGTCCAGAAGGATTAAAAGCATTATGCAAAACACACGATCTTTCTCAAGTAGTTTTTAATTAAAAAAAAAAAAATTAGAACTAACTTCTTCTCCCTTGATTTTTACTTTTTAGAGTGGTGAAACCAGAACAATATCTCACTTTCATTATACTACCTGGCCAGATTTCGGAGTCCCTGAATCACCAGCTTCATTTCTCAATTTCTTGTTTAAAGTGAGAGAATCTGGCTCCTTGAACCCTGACCATGGGCCTGCGGTGATCCACTGTAGTGCAGGCATTGGGCGCTCTGGCACCTTCTCTCTGGTAGATACCTGTCTTGTTCTGGTAAGTGCTTCTCTTCTTATTATCTCATTTTAGTCTCATTGATTTTTTTATTGTTTCCACTGGCAAGGAGTAAGCTCTGATGTCATATCCCAGAACTGGGTTTCTCAAACTTCTGCTTTTTTTGGAAAAACCTAAAAATCTCATTTCTACCCTTTGAACTGTCTCTTGTTCATCACTAGTGGGGATGTGTCCAAGATGATTCTAGAGATCTCCAAGGAGACTTTTCTTCCTGGTAATCTTTGTATTACAGAAATAATAGACCCCCCTCTTTTTTTTTTTCAAATATAAAATTATATGTAATATTGAATTCGTTCCTCAGACAAGCACTTTATCTCTTTTTCTTTATTTTAAAACTAGGGATAATGATAGACTTACCTCAGTGTTGCTGTGAGAATTCAATAAATTAATACATTTAGGACACTTGGAAGAGTCCTTGGTGTTTTCCTAAGCATTCCATAAATGTTAGTATCATTGTTATTCTCCTGAGATTCGTATCTCTGCCCCCCAGGGGCTGCTTCTTTCTCCACTGATACCCCCATATCCAGCCCGGAGACAGCCTAGGCCTTCTCTTCTAGGGCTTTTATTTTTCCTTACTTGGAAATGGAGGCTTCTGTTTACCCTCATGCCCTTTCCAACTTGTCTTCTTTCTCCCTCGTGTTACATTATAGAATCAAACCCATCAGTAATACCTTCTGCCTTGATTTCCATACTATCTGCTTCTTCGGTATTCCTCGTAGTTTAATTTCTGCTTTCCTGAGCTTGTTTTAAGATTATCAACAACCTGGGCAGTTTAGTAGACTGGTGTTTTCAACCTCTACTTCAAGGCCTTGTGTTGTCCTACCTTCCTCTGTTAGTCTCTTCTCTGTCCCGTAAAACTTAGCTATACTTCATTGCACCTATCTCAGCATTCTCAAGCTTTCTCACATGACTGCTAGCGCAAAGTAGATTGTCAGATGAAGAAATATGATGTTATTCACTGCAAACACACGTTCTTAAACAGGGAGCTTGATCAATGAAGCGGTCCTCTTGGTAGAACATTTTGGATAGTGCCTCTCTAGTCAAAGCTAGGAATTAGGAAGCGTTGAGTCTTAACACACTTACTGTATTACTTTACCACTCTACTTATATACAGTATACTTCAATCAAAAATTGGATCGTTACATTACAGTGAACATTGTCATGTTTAAAAACTCTGGTGTCTCTTTTGTTAATGATACCTGTTCCCTACCAACCATAACTTCAACAATTTGTTTCTTTTTCGGTTGGCGGAAGGGAGGGGGGAGTTCTGATATCCGATCGGTAGTCCAGAGCTGGTGCGGTAACTCTGCAGTGCTATTGCGGATCCAGGCTTTTTCTTTCTTTTCCACCACCTTTAGAGGGCAGACATCTAGACGTCATATCTGGAGTGCAGATGTGAAGAAGGCAGAAGGGCAGTGGGCACAAAGGTTTATTCCTACCGAGGCCATCGAAAATAAACAGTAACCCCAGCAGATTTACCCTTATGTTAGCCAGAAGTGATCATAAGTCTTTCCTTTGACCAATTACCGGCCAAAATGAAAGGGATTACTAGATTGGTTTAGAATCAATTGTGAATCAGCTAAAGAATCCAAAGTCCTTAATCTACTACCTGAGCAGGGGAGGATGGGTGGATTGAGATAGTTGTGTACACAACAGTTACAGCTGCAGTGTTGGATTATTCTTAAGGAGGAGCAAACGTAGAGCAAAAATCTTAGCAATGATCCTGTACTGCTTCTGTTTCCTGGACTCTAAAAACACAAGGCTTGACTGACTTTTACCTTTCTTACAGATGGAAAAAGGAGAAGATATTAACATTAAGCAAGTGTTATTGAGTATGAGAAAATATCGAATGGGACTTATACAGACACCAGATCAACTTAGATTCTCATATATGGCTATAATAGAAGGAGCAAAGTATATAAAGGGAGATTCTAATATACAGGTAAACTTTTCTTGGAGAAGAATAATACTGGTTTGTTAAACAAAGTTAGCATCAACTAACTGTACTCCACTTGAGCCCTTCTCTTCTCCCTTCCAAAAAGTATATTTGAATTAATGTAGTAAATCCAGCTGGCTGTTTTAAAATTGTAAAATTTAAGTTCAGTTCTTTGAATATATTCAGCCTCAGGTTAAATGCTGTGTGTTACTTAAAAGACTTAGCGGGAACAAAATTTCATTAAAGAAATTGAATTTTTCATGTAAGGGGGGGTTTAAGCATTTAATTATTAAAATAAACCAGAAAATTTAGGTACTTTTGCCCCATTAAATACTTAACATGGGATTATAGAATATTTAGTTTATATAATATTTCATTTTATATCAGTGAGCAACTTGAATACTTTTGGCAGGTACAATAAAATACCAGTAAAATGTTACATTTTTCTGGTTGTTGGCTTTATTCTCATGAGGATACTTTTATTGTTGGACATAAGTAGATATTATTACTTATTTTTTTAATACTATTATAATATATGTAGATAGGGTCTCTTTTCATTATGTTTCTCATATATGAACAAGTTTACCATGGCCTCATAGAGTGAGTTAGTAAATACTCCCTCTATTTCTGCCCCCTGAAAGAGATTTTAGATAATTGTCATGTCTTCCTTAAATGTTTGGTAGAATTCACCAGTGAACTTATTTGGGCTTGGTGCTTTTTGTTTTGGAAGGTTATTAATTAGTGATTAAATCTGTAAATAGGTATAGGCCTATTCAGATTGTCTGTTTCTTCCTGTGTGAATTTTGGCAAATTGCGTCTTTCAAGGAATTGGTCCATTTCATCTAGGTTATCAGATTTAAGGGCATAGAGTTGTTAATGATACTGATTTATTATTCTTTTTTTTTTTTTTGAGACAGAGTCTCACTCTGTTGCCCGGGCTAGAGTACCGTGGCGTCAGCCTAGCTCAAAGGCGTCAGCAACCTCAAACTCCTGGGCTCAAGCGATCCTTCTGCCTCAGCCTCCCAAGTAGCTGGAACTACAGGCATGAGCCACCATGCCCGGCTAATTTTTTCTATATATTTTTAGTTGTCCGATTAATTTCTTTCTAGTTTTAGTAGCGAGGGGTCTCGCTCTTGCTCAGGCTGGTCTCGAACTCCTGAGCTCAAAACGATCCACCCGCCTCGGCCTCCCAGAGTGCTAGGATTACAGGTGTGAGCCACCGCGCCTGGCCTTATTTATTATTCTTTTAATGTCCATGGGATCTGTAGCGATGGTCTCCTCTTTCATTTATGATGTTGGTTATTCTTGTCCTCTCTCTTTTTTTCTTAGTTAGCCTGGCTACAGGTTCATTAATTTTATTGATGTTTTCAAAGAATGAGGCTTTGGTTTCCTTCATTTTCTCTGTTGATTTCCTATTTTTTCTTATTATTTATTTTCTTCTGCTTATTTTGGTTTTAATTTGTTCTTTTTCTAGTTTCTTTAGGTGGAAACTTAGATTATTGACTTTAGACATTTCTTTTCTTTTTTGAGGGGTGGGCAGGGTCTTGCTCTGTCTCCCAGGCTAGAGTGCGGTGGCATCATCATAGCTCACTGCAACCTTAAGCTCCTAGGCTCAAGCGATTCTCCCGCCTTAGCCTCCCATGTAGCTGGGACCACAGGTGCACACCACACCCGACTAATTTTTCTATTTTCTTTTCTTTGTTTTATTTTGGTAGAGACGGGGTCTCGCTCTTGCTCAGGCAGGTCTCTAACTCCTGGGCTCAAGCAATCCTCCCACCTCAGCCTCCCAAAGTGCTATAATTACAGGCACGAGCTGCTGTGCCCAGCCTAGATATTTCTTTTCTCATAGTATGCATCAAAATCTATAAATTTCCCTCTAAACCCTGCTTTTGCTGCATCCCACAACGTTTGATAAGTTGTGTTTTCATTTTGATTTGGTTTAAAATATTTTAAAATTTCTCTTGAGATTTTTTTCTTTGATCCATGTGCTGTTTGGAAGTGTGTTGTTTAATCTCAGTGTATTTTGAGATTTTTCCAGTTACTTCTGTTACTGATTTCTAGTTTAACTCCATTGTGGTCTGAGAACACATACACATATACATTTACATAGATACATCCATAGATACTGTGTATACATCTACATAGATCTCAGTTATATCCCTTTGATTGATGGTGTTGAGTTCAACTGTCCCTGCTGATTTTCTGCCTCTGGAATCTATCCATTTCTGATAGAGGAATATTGAAGTCCCCGAGTATAAAAGTGGATTCATCTATTTCTCCTTGCAGTTCTGTCTGTTTTTGACTCACGTAGTTTGTGGCTCTGTTATTAGGTGCATACATGTTAAGGATTTTTGTGTCTTAGAGAATCAACCTGTTTGTCCTTATGTAATGCTCTTTTTTCTCTGATAACTTTCCTTAAAGTGTGTGCTGTCTGAAATTAATATAGCTACTCTTGCTTTCTTTTGATTAGTGTCAGCATGGTGTATTTTTTAGTCTATATGTGTTTTTAAATGGTTTTTTATAGATGTCTTGTTTTTTGATCTGCTCTGAGAATCTTTTTTTATTGTTGCATTTAGACCATTGACACTCAAAGTGATTACTAAAAAAGTTGGACTAATATTTACTATATTTGTTGTTGTCTTTGCTCTTTGTTTCTGTTTTTGTATTCTGCTCTTTTATCCCTTTTGTGGTTTTAGTTGAGCATTTTGTGTGATTCCATTTTCTCTCCTTTCTTAGGGGAACTGTTTTCCTGCTCAGTAGTACTCAACCCGTGTAATTCTTCCTCATCTCTGGTACTTTTTCCTAAAAGGGACATCTGCCTTCACCCTCAGTCTTATTTTAGATTTATATGATGTGATTGGTATTTTCAGTATTGGATACAGTTATATGTTAGTTTTTCTGTGAAGATTTCTTGCACATATGGATATAAAGTGATTTAGGCCCTGTAGGGACAAAGGAGAGCTATTAATATCACACATCTACAGTGATTACATTTTAAATCAGTAAATACATATATGTGATTATATTCATATAGCATGTATTCATTTACAGAACACTTCCAATGGCCTTGACCTTCCTAGATAAATATAGATAATTTGTCATTGCCTCTTGGCACAAGGTCAGACATAAATACGTAAAGTAGTTGCTGGTATTACCACATATTTATTAGCAAACCCCCAGTATCAATGACAGTAAACTTCCCAGAGTAAATACCTAGTTTGGCAATTCAGACTTGATATTGTAAAATCTCTAGCTGATAATTTGATTCTACTGATAAAGTATTAAATGTAAATGGTTTAACAAATTATAGAGAATTGCAAGTTTAATTGTATCACTTTACTGCTTTCTTCAGTGAACAGAAATGGGCGGAGTCAGGGTTTCAGGCAGTGTGTGGAACGTTGTTCCTAGCAGCATGTGCTACATGGGGTGTGATTCAGCATGAGTATAGAGCTGGAAGGACATGAAACTGTACCAGGCCTCAAAACAAGAGCTCATGTGAGATTGTAGTTACTGAGATGGAATCCTCGGCTTCCACCAATCAGCAGTGACAGGCTGAGGCCGGTGACTGGGGAGTGCCTGCTCACTTGTATGTTACAGGGAGGGCAAAAATGGGTGAGTTTGCTCAACACAGACATGCCAAGATGATAGTCTTGTTTTGTATTTTGTTTTGTTTTAATCCACTAGCATTAAATATGTCTTTTTTCCTCTTTGCTGAGTGTTTTTCCTATTGGCATATTCTGAATTTGTTGCATATTCTGGGAAGTGGTCCAGAATAGTCATCCCAGACTGTCTGGGTTAAAATTCTGGTCTTAACTATTTATTAGCTGCATAGCCTTGGGCAAGTCATCTAAACTTTTTGCACCCGTCTCCTCTGTAGTATTAGTCCTTCTCTCCTAAGATTATTGTGAGGATTAAGAGCTAGTACATTTGAAGTGTCAGAACATAGCATGGAGTGTCGAAAGTGCTCCACCTTGTCTTTGCTATAAAATCTATTTGGACCAACTAACAAAAATTTAACAAGGGAAGAAAGAAAAATTGACACAGTCATCTAAAGTGAGAACACGTTATCTTCCATTATATAGTAGTTTAACTATTGGCACAGTATGCTTCCTGGACGCGGCGCGAGCCCTGGTGGGGCTCAGGATTGTTCAGTTCCACCTCGCTGCTTCTCACCAAGTCCAGAGGCTGCTTTCCTTGAGCTGTGCTTCCTCGTAGCCTCATCTCTCCCGCTCAAGCACTGCATGTTTTCCATCCTCCCGTCACATTGTATCAAACTGCACTACTCACTATCCTTCAAATACAACAGATGATAGAATTTCTCTTTCTCTAATTCTTCTGTATATAAACTATCATAAAACAAAAAGAGATACATTAATTATGTGGGTAATTTAAATAGCTATATCCAGGAAAGGCTGAGTGTGGTAAAATGCCATTTTCTTTTTAATTCGTCCGTTGTATAATGATAACGAGACAGATTAGAAACTAGTTTATCTAGTGTATGAATTTCCCAAGCTGTTTTAAAAAGAATCTAAATAGGCCGGGCGCGGTGGCTCACGCCTGTAATCCTAGCTCTCTGGGAGGCCGAGGCGGGCGGATTGTTTGAGCTCAGGAGTTCGAAACCAGCCTGAGCA